GTGTGTGTGTGTGTGTTTCTGTCTGTGTGTGTGTGTGTGTGTGTGTGTGTGTGTGTGTGTGTGTCTGTTGCTGCAGAGCTACTCAAACTGCACAGAGTGATAGTGGGGAGGGGGGGTGACTATTTCTTGGCCACGCACAGCAAACTTCCTGGAGTCTCTGCTGGTTCCCTGGCAACCGCTTCAGAGCCAAGAAACAGTCCTGCACATAAACCAGCGTAAAAAACTGTGAAATGGTGAATTGGTTGGTTTTTTTGCCATTTCCAAGCTAAGCTAACCATCTGCTAGTTGTAGCTTGCTGTTTTGCTTGAATGTGAAACATTTCTGCCCAATTCTTCTCATTAAATTGTGTTATATTCATGTGCTTTACGTTAAATAACTTAAGAGGGTTGTGGACTTTCCTTTAACTATTATTATTTTATATATGTTTTTTGGGAGCATTTAATTACCAGTCCTGTTTTTTTTTAAATGTATACATTAATATTTTAGAGCTCTGCCCCTTGAGAGAGCACTTATGTGTGTGTATCTGTTGGATTTGGTTATTCAAATGCATTATGTACATGAGCGGGGAATCACAAGAGGAAACGGTGTTATGTAACACATAATCTGCGTACATGCCACACTGACCTGTGAAAATCCACCCAGGATAATTCTGTGTGAAGGTATCCCATTCTTCACTTCTTGGTCTATCAAGGCTTTAACTGTGGAAAAATTAAATAAAAAAGACTTTAACGAGCTCTTTATGCAACAAACAAAGAGGCAGCAGATTCCTAATGCCACATTTTAAAGGGTTAAAATGAAATATATATATAGACATACTGTTCTCTGAAGCTCTTTTAATTCCAGTCTCATCTTCATCTGCATCTGGGCTCAAGCCGTAGATATCAAACCTAATACATAAGAGGAAATAACACTCATTACGCATGCGACAACCACGTTGTTTATTCATATATGTTCAAATACTGTGACACTTACCAAGAAGGCATGGACATCCTCATGTTCAAGGAAACAGGCATGGTGGGACTGTAATAATTACAGAAAAGCAACATGCACAAAACACATAAATGTTGTTTTTACACACTTTCAAATTATAATGGACGATAAAAAACTATATAAGTTCCATAAATCAGGTGCTTTCAGACTTTTTAAAGACTTCCCCAACACTTGCAGACACCCCCTGTATAACATCACATCTGCTGTGAATGCTTACGCGTGTGGACAGATGTATTTCACATGTGGCAGCCGGATGCCTGCGAAAGCTTCTGCCCAGCCATGCCTGTCACATTGGACAAAATCAAAACCGGGTTTAATACAATAAGTGCATTTAAGATAAGATAAGATATTCCTTTAATAGCCCCACAATGGGGAAGTTCCAGTATTACAGCAGCAAAGTGGATAGAGAAGATAAAAAACAGTATAAAAACAGTAAGAGTATG